TTGAAACTATGAGTTTGCTGAAAGTGCCCCTTTTTCTATCTTAGGTCAACAAACTCATGTTCTGAAACCAATTTCCTTTCCCTCTCCCTAAGACTTTACTCCTTCAAGTATTCCTTCTTTACCTTGTATAAGCAATTGCTCTCTTCATTTGATCACTCTCATCAGCATATAAACCTGCCCTGATATTTCCCATCTTAAAAAATAAAACACACCAAAAAGGTTCCACATCCCCACAAAACAAATAAAAAACAAAACAAAAAACCCCAAAAGACCTCCCTTAAACCTACAGTCTTTTCCAGTTATGAACCCACATGTCTATCTCACTGCACAAAAAACACCTCAGGAGGGCTGTCTATAATCAATGGCACTTCCTCACTTCCTATTCACTCTTCAACACACCTGCTGCTCTACTGAAACTGCTCGTTAAAGACTTCCATGTTCCCAAGTCCACTGGATACTTCATCTGACAGAGTTCACATATTTAGTTGATTACTCTTTCCTTCCAGAAATTTACTTCTCTTAGTTTCCAAATTATTACCTCTTCCTGGTTTTCTCTCTACCCAACTGGCCATTCCTCACAGTCTTTGCTGGTTCATCCTCCTCTATCCAACATCTAAACGTCATTTCCCAGGGCTAAATCCCACGGCATGTTTCTGTCTGCATCTGTCTCTCTCTGCTCTGGCTAGCTCTGCACTCTCTTCCTGGTTGATCGCACCTGGTTCCATGGATTTAAACATCATCTTTATATTGATGACTACCAAATTTGTACCTCTAGTAACTGACCTCCCACCCTGAGTTCCAGAACCATATTCTGTTGCTTACTTGACGACTCTGCTTTAGATTTCTAAAAGGCAACTCAAGCTTAACATTTCCAAAGCAGAACTTCTGGTTCTCCCAACCCCTGTCTCTTGGACCCTTCTCCATCTCAATAAACAGCATTTTCATACATCCAGTTGCTCATACACAAAACCTAGGAGTCATTCTTGATTACTCCTTTTCCTCCATCTCCCACATTCAATCCATTAGTTCATCTCCCATAATATACTGCAACATATAACATTATATTAGTTTCAGGTATACAACATAATGATTCGATGTATGTATATAGTGTGAAATAATCACCACGATAAGTCAACATCCATCACCACACATAGTTACAAACTTTTTTTTTTCTCATGGTGAAAACTGTTAAGATATACACTCTCAGCAACTTCTGAATATACAATACGATATTAACTGTAGTCAACATGCTGCACATTATATCTCCAGGACTTGCTTATTTTATAACTGTACGTTGGTAGCTTTTGACAACCTTCATCCATTTCTACCACCCTCTACCCCGACCTGTGATAACCACCAATATGTTCTTTTTATCTATGAGTTTGGGTTGTTTTTTTTTTAACTTAGATTCCACATGGGTGAGATCATATGGTATTTAATTCACTTAGCATAATGCCCTCAAGGTCCATCCACATGTTGTTGCAAATGCCAGGATTTCCTTCTTTTCATGGCTGAATAATATTCTACTGTGTATGTGTGTGTGTGTGTATGTACACACACATACACACACCACATTTTCTTTATCTATTCATCCATTGATGGACACTTAGGTTATTTCCATGTCTTGGCTATTTTAAATAATGCTGCAATAAACATGGGGGGTACAGGTATCTTTTCAAGTTAGTGCCTTCGTTTCCTTTGGACAAATACCCCAAAGTGGAAATGCTGGATCAAATGCTGCCCTTTTCACTTTGCAGGGTGATGATGAGGGTCACATGGATATATATGTATGTATATCATAAACTATAAAGCTTTCCACAAACATAAGGTAAAAGTATTATAATTTTTGATTTACTACTTTTTATGCTCTAGGAACTAAAAGCAAACTACTGTGCTATACACAAATACTAATATAATGTCCTTATAAACTTACTGACAATTACGGCAGGAGCTGGTTTCTTAAATCAACATTAATTACACTGTACCTGAAATTTACCAGGCCCATTCCTATAGTGTTGCAGGCTGCCCAACAGGGAAGACTATTTCCAGCCAAAGGGGCTGGCACTTGAAAAATATTAGTAAGTGGTGCTAAGAACAAGGCATTTTGCTTTATTCCCTTTCAGTACCCAACCCAGCACACACACCCCTTTAGACAATAGTGACAAGAAGAGGGCAAGCAGACCTTACCAACCCTCTCAGCTCTTCAAACAACACTTGAGGAATTCTACTTGAAGGCCTGTCTTTCTAAGCTTGTGCTTTCAAAACTTGAGCTGGACTGATCCCAAATACTGAAGTAACAAATATTACTAAATTCTGTCATTTCCTCTACCAAAAAAAGTGATTTTACTACTATTTCTGGCTCTGATGAAAGGTCCTATTGACTATTCAAATCCTCAACCAAGTTATGGATGCAGTATTAAATGACTTCACTCCTTTTTCTCTGGCACTTTAACACATGCCAATGCTTTCATCCACCTCCACTAACGTGGCTTATAAATTACTGAGGTGGGACCATTTTAATAGTATGATTTGTTCACATCTCTAGAGTCTAAATGGGACTGCCTGAGAAGACAAACTCCCCTTTGACAACATGTATTGGTATATATGTATATAAAAATAAACCTTCACAAGTTGGAAATATCTTATTAATATAATACCTGGTTAGGAGCCATAATAATTAATGGTTCTTTGATTTGTTATAAGTTGAAATGTAAGAAAGTGATGGTAGTAAGGCCAAAATGGAGTTAAAGTGAAAAAAGTTGAAGGTCACAAATTTGCTAAAAGTTTCTTTCTAAATGCTCAGAAGAGGCTTTCTGAATGAACCCTGAAACCTAAGAAAGTCTGTTTATAAGAAGTTTATTGTCATCTCCTTCATTGTCATCTCCATCACTGCCATCACAGTGATGAAAAAACACTATAGAGAGCAAGATACTTGCTCCCTATGGAGTTTGCGTGGTTAACCCATTAAACACACACACAAATGTAATCTCTCAATTTCAAAGAGTATAAAGTTGCAGAGGATACAAAATTACCAGAAGTAATCCATTTTTTAAACAGATGAATAAAACTAGTTCCGCATACTCGTGGCCTTGGTTCAGTTAAGAATAAAATCAGAAGCTACCTGGGAAGTACTCTAAAATGAGGACCAAACAGGGCTAGAGCTGAGTCTGATGTGAAGGGCTGGCTGTCCCAGATTTTCCACTGCACATAGTCAGCCTCCCTGTTGGTCTTGTTCTCAAAGCAAGCTGGGCTATTCTTAGCACCCCTTTATACCATACTGTGCCATTCCTATTGGGCCCTGAGAAGAAAGAATTAAGTGTGTGTGCATGTGCATGTGTGTGTTTGAAGCTGGGATTTATGAGGAAATCCAGGGATTTCAGCCCTAGCCTTAATTAGGAGTAGATTTCACCTGGAAACTTCCAACAGACTTCTGATCTTAGGCCTTATGTGCTTAAAGCAAGAAACAGAAAATAGGGCAAAGAGAGAAGAATCTCTGAACTCTGATCAGAACTTTAGTTCTACTAAATGAGGCCAACCTTCCTGACATCCTGACTCCCAGACTCTGGACCCCAGTTTCTAGGTACTCTTTTCCACCTTGGTTGACTTCACTGGAGGTACTCTCTAATTTACTTAGACCTCTTCTCCCTTAATGTATCTTTAGTCTGGCCCCTTCTTGACCATTTCTGTCTAAGTACTACCTTCTCTATGGTATGACATCTGTGATCAGTAATGTGAGCTAGGTAGCCTTGAAATTAAGGTCCTGTTTCCCAGACTGAGATACTCTTCTGCCAAAAATGGAGGGATGGAATGCATCAGTTGTGGGAAGAATGGCACATGGAAAGATGAGTCATGGGCCAGAGGCTGTGAGCAAGGCTGCTTGCCTGCAATGAACATGAGCTGGATGGCAGTAACAATAAAAGCAGTATGAGTGTGAGGCTATAAGCAAATGATTAATTGAGGACTGCAAACTAGAAATTTGATCCAGTATCAGAAAAGTATAAGAGTCTTAATAAAAACCAATTTTAAAAAAAAACATTAAACTGAGATTAGATGAGGGGAAGAAAGGCAAAGATGATACCACATGGAGGAATTATTCTAGATCCATCAGAAATGAATATGGGAATTGTTCAGTGAGTCTTCAGAATCATACAGATAAAAGGCAACGCAGGCTCATAAAAACAAAAGCATCACAAACCTTACTGCTTCTATAAAAAGGAAAGGTCTGAGGATACAGCTGATAATGTCACTAAATAACAGCCAAACAGTGGGATCTCATCCATGTGATATTCCAATTGGAAGGATGTCCAAATAAAAACAAGGCGCTGAAGCTGATCTTCCTTTACAACTAGAAAATTTACGGCATGTCTAATCTACCTCTTGAAGTAGAGCCAAGTGAGCTGAGGAAATGCTATATATTTCTTTCAGGAAAATGCAAACCCAAGCATCTGATAGCCTTTCTATGGCATGTGGAAAGGCATTAAGTGAGATACGAGCTGGTGTGATGTTGGGAGAGCCACAAAAATCCAAGCTGGGTTGGAAGGACCACGTGCTTGGTCTTTTCTTTGGGGCCCTGGGTAACAGATGAGGAGACTATTAGGGACTTGCCAAAGTCAGTAAACCTTTACTCCGTAAACTCCCAATCAAAATGAGCCCCCAGAAGTGGTCTAAGAGAAGAAAGCTGTGTGAGAAGAAAGCTATTATCAGTCAAGCTGTAGAGGCAAGAGGTTATAAAGCCCACACATTCAAGTACAGTCTACTAGCAGGTAACAATTCAGTAAATGGCTTCTGAGTTTAGCCGGAGGATTGCAATTTGTACACATTGCTTCTTTGTGGTATTTATAATGACACAGAAAAGGACTGTGGCCAAAAAAGAACTTTGCATTATCACTGTAGCTAGTTAAATAGGAGTCACTGTAGTACTTATTCATAAAGAGGGTTAGAGATCCAAGGAAGCAGGCTGCATGTGGCAAGTAGGAGGTGAGTAAAGAGGAGTTACTTACCTGTGCTATGTTTTTGTTCAGAAGATAGACACCATAATCAAACTGCAACTTCTCCCCTCCTTTTGGGTATAATGGAAACCTAAAAAAGGTAAAGTAGGGTCAGAAGTTTTCAAAAACTTGAGTAAAACAACCTCCAAGTTGTTGACAAGGGCAGAAGTTGCTTGCATACAGCATAAACATCTGAAGACTTGGACTAAGTCACTTATATAGTCATTGTAACCTATTATCTTAATATCTTCATAACATTAGTCAAATCAGAATGATGGCTGCTTTGTTTCGAAGAAAAAATTGAATAGGTCATACAATAAGGGACAAATATATAAGAAAGTGACCCACTATCCTCAAGGAGTTGAGGCCACTATGTCTCATATTTATATATCATAAACCTACCACCCTGAGATTAAGGTCCTAGAATTTTTTTCCTCTAATACTTTGGACCTGACATCTCAAGTTCTACTAAAAGGGACAGATGGTTAAGAAAAATATCAGACATGAAAGCGATATCTAAGGTTTCTGTTGCTTCTGAGGTGGCTAGTCAAATCCACAGCACCAATGAGCAAAAATTCATCAAAAACTCATTCACATTCGCAGGGGTGGCTATTTGGATGTTACTTCTCCAAGGCAATGTACTCATGCCATAGAGTTCTCATAAGACTTTCCATTTTAACCTGATTCACGGAAGCAACAAAGGCATGAGATCTGTAGATCTTTATAAAAGTGATGAGTTATTTTAGGGAGTAAGTTTCCTTCACTATTTCCCTTTTCCTACTCCTGCAAATGAAGAAGAAAAGGTTAGAGTATATCTATGTTCTAGTCATATTTTCCCCTGATTCTCAAGACCAAGCATGCATTTTGGCCTCTGCAACAGATTTCTCTACAAACAGATCAATCACAACTTAGACAGGGTCAAGAAGAAACTTTACTTTCCTTAGTTTTGCAATATCTGACTATTCTTAAGAATAACATAACCTTACAGAAATAAATGGTAGGTGACAATTACTGGATATTCTCAATTTCAATTGTGTTTTAATTGTATGAGGAAAAGATACATTCCATAATGCTTGGAGGATACTGTTTTCTAGGGAAAATGAAAGAAAGGAAACAGGATTTAAAGCTTTATATTAAATTCTCCAGTTGCTGATTACATAATGTCCAAAAGGTAAATTTGTCGCACTGTAAACTTACAGGCACTGGGGAGCGAGCAAGGTTATGATCTGTCTGTATTCTCTACAGTGGAACACCAAATGCTTCATACACCCATCAAGAAGATATAGCTTTGTATTTAATTGAAGTTATAAAAAATAAACTAGGACATACAGTTTGGCCCTAAATTGAGATGCATTAAAAATGACAGCAAAGCAAATTCGGGATAAGTAAAGTGTAACACACCAGGCTTTTACAGGGTATCTGGGAATCCTTCAAACTTGTATGGGGTAGCCTGCAAAGAAACTACCTAACTGAAAGGATATATCAACAAAGGGGCAAGTATGAAGAAATTTACTAGAGTCCTAAAGCTCTATGCTGTATAGTTGTTATACTATAAACCATTACATGTAGACTCTCTGCACAGCTCTCCAAACTCACAAATATCTCCAAGTTATAAATGCAGAAACTGTTTCAAATGTTGGAAAAGTAAACTGAAATAAGCATACATTGAAAACTAAGCCTCTGAATCCTGATGAATGGATCTTATGACATTGACTTTATTACTTCATTGGGGCTTCTTTATAGAAAGAAAGAGCCCCAAGGTGTGTATGTACCATTAAAACAAATCTAAAGTGATTAGAGCCAAAGGTTCTAATAGGGAAACTTTAAGACAGATCAAATATTAGGACAGAGTTCACATCTTATATTGCTTTCAAATTCTTAAGGGGTCATGTCAAGTTGAACAGTATAATAGCTTCCAACCATTACACAGTCATCTTACTCTGCGAAAGTACATGGATTTATAGATCTACTAAGCAATCTAGAAAAATGAAATCCATCTAAAAGGGTAAAACCTATTACCATCAGGACATAAGATACAAATCAAAGGCATCTTAATTCAATATACATAGAGAATCTCATTAGCAGACTGCAGAAGGTTTAGATAAGAATGTGGTCATTAAAGTACAACCAGAAAAATGTCCATAGCACCATAAATAGAATTAATTTAAGGGAGTATTAGATTCAATAACTAGAGGAATAAGTATACATTTCCTATTATTATACTTTTACAGAAAATACAATTAAAATGAGCAATTATTAAATTCTTTTCCAAATTAAATTATATTTCCAAGTTGTTTGAAAAATTCACTGACCCTACGTGGTAAAAGTCAATGAATTAGAAAGCAATAAACAGATTATCTGTGAAGATGGTTTGGAGCTCTTTAGTACCTAGTAATTTCCGTGTGATTTAAGAATTATGACATGAGTACCAAAAAGCCAATGTAATCCCAGGCTGTATTAACAGAAAGAGAGCAGATAACCAGGGAACGTGCTAGTGCCAACTATCAATACTCAGTACTGTGTCAGATGATACTGACAGATCTACGTTTAGTTCTGGGAGTTAATATTTCTTTTTAGAAGCATACAGATAAATAACTGGAACCTTTCTTACAGGTTATGTTTCTTACAGGTTTTGTAATAATCTCATTTGACTATAAAAAGCATGCAGTGAAGCAGAGTGGTCCAGTGCTTTTGCTATTTAAAAGAAACTAACTTGCCTTGGTCACCTACTTAGTGGAAAAGATATGACACCTCAGCATTAGGTCTTCGGTTATACACTCAGTATTCTTTCTATTGTCACTGGGTCCTTTAGAGAAGAACACCCAGGATGAATAGAAGAATGGGAGCCATAGTTTTGAGAGAAATGGTTGACGGAACCACAGGTGTTTAGCCTGGAGGGCAGAAGTCTCATGGACAACAAATGAAGGACTTTCAGAGAGAAAAAAAGCTGGTTTTATTCTCATGGCTTCAAGCAGGAAAACCCAAAGTTGATGGCAAAAAGTTACAGGAAAGTTGATGTCACCACAGAATTAGTCAAAATCCAAAAGATCTTGAGTAGAGGAAGCTAAGCAGAGGCCGGTCAACCAATAATAACCATGTGGTGAGCTGCGGCGGCTGTGGTGGAAGTGGCCGGGGAGCCCAGTCCCTGCTGGCACCATGCTTCACTTGTGGCTGCTGAAAACGGCTCAGAATCACCCACTGTTGGTCGAGCTCAAAAACGGGGAGGCATACAATGGGCATCTAGTGAGCTGCGACAACTGGATGAACACCGACTTGCGTGAGGTGATCTGCAAGTCCAGGGACAGAGACAATTTCTGGCTGATGCCCGAGTGCTACATCCGCAGCAGCACCATCAAGTACCTGCGCATCCCCGATGAGATCATCGACACAGTCAAGGAGGTGGCGGCGGCCAAGGGCCGTGGCGGCCTGCAGCAGAAGCGACAGAAGGGCCATGGCACGGGGGGTGCTGGGCGAGGAGGGATCCCACGGACCAGCAGAGATCAGCCAGAAAGGAGGCCAGGCAGAGAGGCGGGCAAACAGTGAGCCGCCCCTCTGTTCCCCAGAGACTGAGCCGCAACCACCGAGCATCTGCTCCCACCCCCGAGGCCGCTTTTCTACGCTCCAGTTTATGAGTCTGTTCAGAACAAAATGAAGAGGCAGGTGTCCGGGCAGGACCCCCTGCCTGTCTTCTGTGATCCTCCTCTTTTTTTGTTAGCCAGGAGTTCTACAGTTGGAAATGTTATTCTGTGCTTCTGGTTTTGTGAAGTCGCAGCAGACTTGATTCCTGGAAGATTCTGTATGTAATGCATCTTTAAAGGCCTCACTCTTGTTTTAAGGTCAGGCATTTTCCAAACAGGTCTGTTTTGCATTTTGTGTTAGATCCCTGAGTGGTGAACAGAAGGGAGGTTTTTATTTTAAGGTGTTTGCACTAAGACTGACAGCCTGGAGAATTTCCTGAAACACGGACCCCAAAATTGCTTTTTCAAAATGAATCCAGATGAACCTTTGCCTCAGAAGCTGTTCTGGGGGACAACACTGGGCCCTGTCCCATCACTTCCTCTCTCCCTCTTTGTGTGACAAAAAAAACCTCAACAAAACGAAAAACTACATCTATGAAAACAAAAACAAAAAACAAAAACAAAAAACCCCCATGCGTTCAGGGGTCTAGTAGGCTGAATGGTGGTCCCCCCGAAACATATGTCCATATCTGGAAACCCAGAACCTGTGAATGCAACATTGTTTGGGAAAAGGGTAAGAATCTAGAGATTAGAATATCCTTGAATATCCAGTTGCGCCCTAACTCCAGTTAAGTGTCCTTATAAGGACACAGAGGAGAGACACAGAGAAGAGGAGAAGGTCACCTGAAGATGGAAGCAGAGATTCGAGTTACACAGCCACAAGCCAAGGAATGCCTGGAGCCAGCAGAAGCTGGAAACGGCAAGGAAAGAATCTCCCCTATAGAGCTTTCGGTGCCCTGCTGACGCCTTGATTTTGGACTTCTGGCCTCCAGACCATGAGAGAATAAATTTCTGCTACTTTAAGTCACCAAGTCTGTGGTAATTTGTTACAGCAGCCCTAGAGCCTAACATGGGGGGAATCAAACACTGGATGGTCCATTGGACTCGATGGGGTATAATATCTCATCCGTCTCCAAGATTCTGTAATTCTGAATATGCCAAAATAAATATATTGAATATAACTTCATATTTCCTTCAGGAACCAAGAAAATATTTCAAGAGTATAATGCCAAAGGGTCACGATGATAGGCATCAGCTAAGGCTGCAAAGTAGACCTACTGAAGTGCTAGCAAATGAAATGTGAGAAAAAGAGATTCATATGTATGGTCTGAAAGTAGGAAATGTTTTAAAATTAAATTTATATATATTGTATATAATACATATTCAAATTACTTCACATGTGTGTATGTATATATGAAGGATATGCCACAATTTGGAATAAAATTGTAAAAGAAATTTATTTTGAACCTTTCTTATTTTCAAAAGATACAATTATTATAAGCCCTTCCCCCTCCTCCCCAAACCAGACATTTTTTAAAAGGACTCCAGATTGGTTAGTTTCTTGCTTTCACCT